AAAGTATTTGTGGACCCCTAGTTTTGGGTATGGATCTTTTCAATGAGAGAGGTCACTTAGGGGCCTTTTTATTTTTGGGCAAAAAATTCATCTGCTCCTCTCCCACCCATGTTTTATATTCTGTTTCTCTCGTTTATTCAATTTTTCCTTCTTAGCTCTTACTAAGCTCTTAGCTCTTACTTGTAACACACTATTTATTTTTATATGTTGTTTGTTACCCAACTAAAATATCCACATGGGTAAGGACTTTCACTTGTGGTAACACCTGAATCCCTGCAACCTTGAAGATTGCCTGGCATATAGTGGGTCCTCTACAAATATTTGTTGAATGAATCAATACAGATTTCATTGAACAGATTAGTTCCCAAAGTGTGCTGGAGGCTTTGTCTTTTATGGAAATTTTGGAGGGGCCTGGTGCCCTGTGAGGAGAGTGCTATTTTTCCTAGTTAGTGGATGAGACAACTGAACCTCCAGCTTCTCACACTGTGATGTGCACATGAATCCTGTTACAGTGCAGGCTCTAATTCAGGAGGTCTGTGTTGGGGCCCTGACTGCTATATCTCCAGCATGTTGCTGATGGTCTGCTGCCCAAACGCTAAACAGCAAGGGTTCAAGGCTCCACTCAGAGTCTACACTAGGACTTGGATTATAGTTTTTTTTTTTTTTTTTTGGACAGGCAGAGTTAGAAAGAGAGAGACAGAGAGAAAGGTCTTTCTACCATTGGTTCACCCCCCAAATGGCTGCTACGGCTGGTGCGCTGCACCAATCCGAAGCCAGGAGCCAGGTATTTCCTCCTGGTCTCCCACATGGGTGCAGGGCCCAAGGACTTGGGCCATCCTCCACTGCCTTCTTGGGCCACAGCAGAGAGCTGGACTGGAAGAGGAGCAACCAGGACAGAACCAGTGCCTCAACCGGGACGAGAACCCGGGGTGCCGGCGCCACAGGTGGAGGATTAGCCTAGTGAGCCGTGGCGCCAGCCTATAGTTTTTAATCTGGAGAATGTGGAAACTGTCATTTTCTTTCTGTTCCCTCTTCTTGATTTCTATGCCACTCTCAATCCTATGATCTCTCAAGACCTCTCTTTTCCCCTGCTAGGCTTCCTGTCCCCACCTTGCCTATGCCTGTGAGCTGCCCTTCCATAACCACCCACCCCATCTTCATCACCTTCAACTCTTCCTCCCCTCGAGGCTTCTCCACTTCAACTACACATGCACCCAAAACTTTCTGATCCTTCAAGTGGCCAAATCACATGTTTCTCATGTTTTCCAGCCTCTGAGCTAAAAAAAGGTGATGATCCTTGTGACCCCCCAGGTGCGTGAGATCTTCTCCCACCCCTACTCTATAACCTGCACAAGATATTTTGATGGTTCAAAGTCAGGACAACTCCAACAGTCTCCACCTCCTCTGTAGCATCTGCTATGGCCCACCAATTCTTCTGCACTGGCCTTCTCTCCTGGGTTCTTACAGTTTCCTTCATACTGTTAGTCTGCTTTGATAGTTCCTTTCCTCTTCTGAATCTTCAACCATGCTCTGTTCCTGGGCCTCAGTCTTTAGTCCACTGTTCATCCCCCACTCTTTCTTCGTGTCTGATTCTGTCCACCCTGTACTCTCATCTGCCATCTCTCAGAGGAGGCTCCCCAACATCCATCTCCCACCCCAAACTCTGTGTCTACATTTCCAAGGTCCCATCAGGTATTTGTGCTTAGAAGCTCCAACATTCTCGACCTAGCACATCAGAGTCATATTCATCCTCTGCTCCAAACCATTTCTCTACAACAGTTATCTCTATTTCTAAGATAATACATTTTCCCTCCCATCTGCTATTGAATGGCTTTGGGAGATTGACATACCTCTCTGAAATATTTCTGTTCCATTAAATATTGATAATGGTACCTAAGAGACTGGGCTACTATGATTATTTCATGTATGTACAAAGTATATGACAGGTGGCAGTAATTTCTTCACCTCCCCTTCTGCCTAGACTATAAAATGTATCTTATATATTCAGTCCCCTTAATTCCAGGGGATGACTTCTACCACAAACGCTTGGTGGAAGTTGAGGATGGGGATATGGTGCTCAAGAAGAAAAATCTAACTGCCTAAGACTTCTCTGTAGAAGGCAGAATATTACTCTATAGTTACATCCAAAATATAACACTCATGGGTGCTCAGGGGTTCATAGATATAAAATTATGACTCTTACATGGAAGTCCTGTGCCCCATCCAGAGGTTTCTGTGTCCTGCTGCTAGAATGAGTTTCATACTCTGACTGGTGACATAGAACTCCAAGCCTGCACCAATTGAAAGGACCTTGTTTATCATTGCACCTTGAATACAAGTATTTGCATATCTACTTCCTGCACTTCCACATGGCTCATTTTTTAAAAATTTATTTGAGAGAGACAGGTAGAGACAGAGAGATGAGAGACAGAGATAAAGAGAGAGCTCGGCCGGCGCCACGGCTCAATAGGCTAATCCTCCGCCTAGCGGCGCCGGCACACCGGGTTCTAGTCCTGGTCGGGGCACCGGATTCTGTCCCAGTTGACCCTCTTCCAGGCCAGCTCTCTGCTGTGGCCCGGGAGTGCAGTGGAGGATGGCCCAAGTGCTTGGGCCCTGCACCCCGTGGGAGACCAGGAGAAGCACCTGACTCCTGCCATCGGATCAGTGCGGTGCGCCTGCTGTAGCGCACTGCCTGTGGTGGCCATTGGAGGGTGAACCAATAGCAAAAGGAAGACCTTTTTCTCTCTCTCTCACTGTCTACTCTGCCTGTCCAAAAAAAAAAAAAAAAAAGAGAGAGAGCTCACTTCTGCTGGTTCACTTTTCAAATGCCCACAATAGCCAAGGCAAGGCTGGGGCTGAAGCCAGAAGCCAGCAGTCAGGAACTCAGTCTAAGTCTCCCAAGTGGGTAGCAGGAACCCAATTACTTGACCTATCACTGCTGCCTCCCAGTGTCTGCATTAGTCAGAAGCTTGAGTCAGGAGTTGGAGCCATGGATGGAAGCCAGGTACTCCAATGTGGGATATGTGCTTCCTAACTGCTTGGCCAAATACCCATCCCACAGTCTGTTCATTTTTTATCCCACCACTGTTTCCAGCACAGCACATGGTATAAATAAAGACAATGCTGCATACATTGAAGAAATATAAATGGGTGAGGTACCCAGAGGTTGTGATGACCACACTGCATGCGAATATTGCATGCTCACACCTGCTATGGAACACCGATGCCATAAGAACCCCTGGAAAACCAATCGAATTCTCACAGGTTGCCATTATTGCCATGACCCCTGGGGACACTGAAGTGGGAAGTAAAGAGAACTAACATTTCATGAGTGCCAACTTTGTGACAAGCCCTTTACAAAATCGTTTCATTCCCTCTTCAAGCCAACTCTATGAATTATACACTATTATTCCCATTTAGGGTTAGAGAAAGGAGACTCAAAGAGCTTAGAAATTTTGCCAAGGCTATGTAATCAAGTGAGCATATCAAGGCTGTACAATCAGTGAGTGAAAGAGACAGGGTTTAAACAAAAAGCTGCACAGTCTTCAAGCTCTTGCTCTTGGCACTACAGCAATAGCAGACCACACTGTTTCATAGCTCCATGCCTTTGCAGAAACTGTTGCTGCTTATCAAAATTTTTTGTTTCAGTGCAGGCTAAAGTCATGTCTAAGTACACTGACCACTGTCTCCTGCCATACTACCAAGTTGCTCTACTAGGTGCTCCTATTCCAGAATACGTTTAGGAATTCTCAGTAGACATTTCAATTACTTGACTTTATGCTTGAGCATGAGGCTCAGAGTCCTAGGTATTTCTCCATCTCCCTTGTCCAAAACATATAGCGCATGTTCAGCACATGTTTGTTGATGAATGAGTGAAAAAATGAAAGAATGGTATTTCCACCTTTGGTGTCAGGGGTTCTTTGGTTCCTATAGGACATGACGGTGGTGATACCAGTATCTTATCTGCTCGGTGCTTGGCCCTATAGACCCATGGACCAAACGCCAAGCAGGGCAAATAGGGCAGCCATGTTACTGGTTCCATCTTCTTCTACGGAGTTGCAACAGATGATCATTGCTAGGCATGGCTTCTCTCCAAGGCTGGACTTGCCAGGGGTGAGGGAAGACACGGAGTAGTGAGCCACACACTTCACCAGGAGCCAGGCATTCCTAGTCTTACTCCCAATCTTTCACTAGCTGGGTATATGCTAAGTTCATATACTTCTCTCTAGACCTCAAATTCTAAAAATGGAAAGTGCATATAAGGAATATGGGACTACTTCAGTGGTTTTCTTAATTTTCATCATCAAGGCTCCATTTACAGACTACTCTTTTATCCTTATATTTGAAAATCCTTGCTTTTTAAATCATCATCATCATCTTTGTTTAGTAAGTGTAACAAGCAAGAGAGTCAGCTGTCACCTTCAAACCAGGAAAATGCACTGATAACATGAGCTAACTAATACTAAACACCACACAGATAAGGAAAAGATCTTAGATGTTTTTATCACCTATGAGGCTGGTTCTAAAAAGTCATGATTTGCTGTAGTCACGAAACAGGTAAAACAGACGATGAATGACTTTCTAAACTTTGAGCCCCCAGGGCTACCTGTTCCCGGATAGACACAAGTGGATGTAGAAGTTGTTGAGATTTGTGATTTTGTCTTACATGTGCAAGTCCTGCATGAGAATTGGCCCCCTCTCTTTCTGGAATTTAGGGGTTTCTAACTCAAAAATTACACTCACAAAGGAGAAACAGTCCCTCTCAGCTCCAAAAATAGAAAAAATAAATTTAAGATGACAGAAATGTAGCAACGAACTTTAACAATGACAATGTATTTTCAAATGGAAAACATCTATGCAAAATAAAAACTATAGGGCTGCAAATGACTTAGACAGAAGTGGATATGAGAAACCAACAAACATTTGGTTGGCGCAGGAAATGCATGCTACAGATTCCCTTGCAGGGTACGAAGCAAAGTTAACACCAGCTCGATACTTACAAGTAATAGGAGTAGGAATAAGCATTTCTTCTATATATTGATGGGCAGTCAGATGAAGGAAATGTCCAAAAAGGGGAAAAAAGAAAAAAACAAACAAACAAGAATTAGATTTATATGAAATCTTGGTTCTTAGAAATGCATATATTATTTTAGCATCCCTAAGCTCAGGAAGATGCAAGTTTGTCCATCAATCATTTTGGCTGAGAATCAGACACTTTCAATAGCAGAAGAAACAAGGGAGACCTCTCCTCTGACAGGGAAACTCACTGTCTAATGCGGAGGAAGCCAAGTTTCGCGCTAGATGCTTTCATCAGTTGAAAGTCCTTCCTCATGGTCCACTAAAACAAGCTTCCTTGTAATTATAAGTTTTTGAAGGGTGTGTACCGGGTCAGCTCTCCCAAAACTAGTCAACCATTCTTCTATATAACTGTTCATGTGATCTAAGCAATACCACAATAGCTCCTTCCATATCCCTTATTTCTGGTCACAGCACATCAGAATCTACTGGATAATATTACTCAAAAATCAAGGAAATTGTACAGCCAAGCATCCAAGTTGGCTCAAGCACCCATATTTCCCAGTACATAGGCCCATGTGCAGCACTCTCCCACCCTGCATTAGGCCCTGTGTGATGAATAGGATGTGGTAGGAATTACATTCTGGAACTTTCTAAGCAAGGTATAAAGCCTTGCAGGTCTAGCTGGGTCTTTGGAACTCTCTGTTCAGTCCCTGAGATGCCATGTAAAAAAATCTAACTTCCTCCAAAATGTTAAAAAAAAATTGAAACAAAAAAAATAAACTTATAAAACAAGAAATACAACTTTCTGGAGGCTACAACGTTGAAGAGAAATAAATGTCCAGCCAGCTACCAGCTATTCCAGCTCCAGCTAATCAAGTTACCCAGCTAAGACCCCTGACATCAAGGAGCAAAAACAAGTCATTCCCTTCAAGCTCTGCCCAAAGTTAAGACTCATGAGCAAAATACATCAGTGTTGTTCCTCAAGCCATTAGACTTTAGGGGTCATTTGTTACACAGCAGTAGACAGCTAGAACACAGTTCAACCTCATCAAGAAAGAACACTGTACTGAGAGAGAGGAATACCAACATTCAGTCTGAAAGACTCTAACTTGAATTCACTCTGTGCCTTCATGTCCTCAATGCTCCTCAGGTAGACTGAACTAGATCAGCGGTTTTCAAACTGTGTTTCCAGACGGCTGGGGGTTCTGCTGAGCAACCTGATTGCAACACAGGATGAAGACACTGAGTGGGTGGGGCTGCTGCTCCTTCATCACCCACCAAGGCCATGCATCTCCACTTTTATCTGTTTCATAAATTTGAGTTTCATCTTACATCGAACATGGCTAAGAATTCTACACTCTGAAAATCATTGCTTTTAGTGTCTAACATCCTCACTAGTTCTTGATTTCTGAGCAATAAAAATCCCTAATAAGTCCATGATACTGCCTTTGTTGTGACTTTGTCTCACACTGTAAGAAAATACAGTTTTTTTTCCAACTCTTTACTTAGTATAGAGTTAATCTTATGTGTATAAAGTTAATTGAAAATAGATCTTAGTAAGAAAATAAGAATGGGAATAGGAGAGGGAGGAAGAAGGGTGGGAGAATAGGTGGGAGGGCGGGTAGGGAGGAAAGAATCACTGTGTTCCTAAAACTGCATTTATGAAATGCATGAAGTTTGCCATCTCAATACCACCATGAAACCCTTAAATAAAGGGTTTCTGGGAAAAGAATGGGAATGCTTCTACTTAACATCAGCTTACCTACACTGATAACAAGTGATACCTTGTTGGACTAATAAAAATCGCTGGGTAATTCAGCTTCCAAATATCAAGGTAAGTGAAAATAGCTGCCTTCCATGTTGAATTATTTGATTAATTGTAACCCTTACCCTGTTTCGTGTCAGGGGAAGATCCCGTCTTTAAGACTGTGGAGATAGGGGCAAATTTTCAGGACCCCAAACTTCACCCTCAGGCAGGAGCTCCCAAGGTGGGGTCATCTCTAGGCTTTCTCTGGGCTACTGGCAAAGCCAAACTGTACTGTCCCATAAGGGAAGTGACTCTGAGACACAAGAAGGCATGGTGGAAGGGGAACCCCATGTCCCCTTGGGAGGCTGAGCTGGAGAAAATAAGCCAAAGTGCAGCAAGATCTGGCCAGCCAGAAGCTGAACAGTATCACACACCGAGTGAACAGTGCCCCTAGATGACAAAATAGTGTGAAAAACTCAGTACCGTAATGAGGAGAAACTGGAATATCCCATAACAGTCATCAAATCCCCTTCGCCAGCCACATAGGTTGGTGCTATAAGAAGATCATTACTCTGTTTTGTTGCTAGATAATTCAGTGCCTGGAAATTAGTTTTCTCTTGGGCAGAAAGCTCAGAATCCATCAAAGACTTACAGACACCTGTGTTCACACTGAGCTGAGAACCAAGAAGCTGGCATCCTAAACCCAACTCTCACTTGCTCATTATGACATTTCTGGACAAGTGAACTCCTCCCCCTTGGACCTCTGCTCCTGGACCCATGTGCTAAGATGGATGGGACAGATGACTGACCGCTCAACCACTTGCAAGAGGGGAAATAGGATAAGTCCTGCCATCTCAATACCACCACTATGCGGCTTTGAGCAAATCACTCAACAGCTCTGATTCCTATTCTCTCCATCCTGAGGTTACAGGCAATGACTACACATCCTCAAGGGTCAGTGTGTGCACTAACATCAGACTATATTCATCAAATATCTAATTTAGATGAATATTAGATATTTATATATGATACATAAGTATTTAAATTTCATATGTAAGTATTTAGATTTCATTCCTCTAAGTTAATGCTAAACTGTATTTATCTGAACACCTGGACTATAGTAAGGCACAATAAAGAGTGGCTTATGCTTCTACCTCATCTACAGACAAAACATTTGCTGCTTCTTACTCTGGTCATCAGGAACAAAGTGTCCACTTCTTCAGGAATAATGAAAATAACAGAATAAGAGCAAATGCTCTTGCAGCTCTTAGTGTGTGCCAGGCATTGCTTTTTCCTCCTCTTATGTATTCCTACACGATCCACAACTACCCCGAAAGCTGGGTGTTATGACCATCTCTGCCTTACGAGTGTGGAAACAGGGGTGAATGGTGAAGCCACCTGCTTGGGGTCACACAACCAGTACCTGGATTTCACAGCACCAAGGCTCACGCCCGTCACCACTAGTCCGTGCTGCCTTTGAGGAAGGAGGACAGTGAATGTGCGCTCAGCAATGCAGTGAGCCAGGCCTCCAGAGGCCATGTGCCCTAGCTCTTTCAATCCGGCCAATTTGCATTTGGTTGAGAAATACAAGGCTGCTGCTCACCAGGTCACAGCTTCTGTGCATCTTTGAACCCAACACAAGGCCTCCTTGCTAAGCTGCAGTACCTCGCCGTCAGCAGCCACCACACCACCTGTTAAGTCTCAGGCTGCATTTGGCATTTGGATCCTGTGGCTTTTCTGTTCTCAAACTTCAGGATTCATGTCTGCCGGGGCCACACTCTCCTCCTCCTCCTCCTTCACCTACAGACCACAGACGGCCCCTTCCAAGGAGCTTTCCTGAGAGATCTGGGTGTCACCAAAGCCTGTGCTACCCCCACCCAGCTTAAAGGCACCTCCAGAATGAGGTGACTGAAAAGCTTCCATGAACTGAACATCTTTTCCCAATTCAGTGGAAAGCCTTTCAGGGCAAATATCACAGGTCTTCACTCTGTGACCAAAACACAGGTTATAAGCGTGTTTTCTCTAAGCCTTGAAAAAGATTTACTGAAGGTCTAAATTTACAAGGATACTGTGATACTGCAAGTAACAGATTGCCTCAAACCAAAAATCCTGAGCAGAAAAACAGCTGCGCTTAGGAGACAAAAAAATAAAAAATAAATAACCCTAAATTTAATAAATAACATACTGCAGAACCTTCTTCCCAGCTCTCTGACAAGACTGACTTCAGGCAGTTTCCCTTTGTTCTATACCATTTAAACAGGAATAAGTTGTCTGTATAACCACTCATTTGACCATCTTCCCATCCATCTAACTCATATCATATCCATCCATCCATCCGTCCGTCCGTCCGTCCATCCGTCCATCCATCCATCCATCCATCCATCTATCCACTTAATAATCCACTCATCCACACATCCATCCAATAACCCATCCATCAGCCATTCATCACTAGTGCAGCAAAAACTTCTTGAAGGCCTACTACATCCTTGTCTCTTCCAAGTATTAGATATAGAAAGACAAAAATGAAATATAAGATGTCTGATATAAGACCCAGACAAGAAAATTACAGCCCCTATGTCTAAGATCCAGACAAGAAAATTATAAAACAGATGACAATTGCTATCACTTAAACAGAGCCCACCTACATGCTGGATACCATTCTAAGTACATCATGCACACTATTTTATCTAATTATCGCCCTATGAGGCATCATTATCCCTGTTTATGAGGAAGAAAGTAAGGCCCAGAGAGGTTAAGCAACTTGCCCAATTTATACAGCAGGTAAGTAGCAAGGCAAGGGTTAGAATCCAGGAAGTATGACTTACAGAGCCTATGTAGTAATCACTAAGCTATGTCCTTTTCAAGTGTGATAAGTTGTCTGATTCAGCAACACAGTGAGCCGTGGGCCATACCAGGAGCACAGGTGGGGAAGGAAAGTAGGAAGGTGTGCCAGGATCTGAGATGCCCGAGTTGTGAAGTCAAAGAGAATTCAGATGTTGGAGAGGGGAGGGTATTTTAGGGAAAATCCAAAAACTCAAGTGGCCAAACACTTGTTCTGCAGGGATGATTCATGCAGGAGCATGAGGATAAAGTCAGAGGATCTAGGACCAGAGAACCTATGATGAAGACCAAGACAAGAGCTATTGCAGGATGCTCTTCACTGACCATGAAGGTGGAGAACAGGTGAACTTGAAGACAGAATCAACAGGTGATTAAATGTGAGAATATTGAATTAGACTTCCAAGTGAGTTGCTGCCCAAGCAA